GGGCCTGGCAGGGGCTCGGTGTCCGGGCTGGTTTTGGCACTCCCCAGATGGGCGTGTGGCCTCCGCCCGCCGTGGAGACGGCTGGGAATGAGTCAGCCGGGCCGGGAAGGCCCCGCTGTGAGCAAACTGACTCGGGAGGAGGCCGGGCTGGCTCCGCAGGAAAATTTTCCCTTCCCAAGCGCCCTGTCCCAGTTCTGCTTTCGCTTCCACCTTCCGGGTACTGCAGACCTGCCCTTCCCCAGCCGGGGGCAGTAGGCTGATCCGAAGTGGGACTATGGAGTGGGGTAACGGGGACATATGCGCCATGTGGACAGCCTGAAGTGGGGGAACGTGGGATGAGGGACCCAGCGAAGGAGGAGAAACAGCCTGCATCGTCCCAAAGAGCCTCATTCATTCATTCATTCATTCACATGTTCACTGATCTCCTACTAGTTACCAGGCTGTAATCTCTCAAGGATACTAGGGAATGACAACCTGCATTCTCCTTGCCCTCCTGAAGTTTGTGTTCTCATAGAAGGGATGAAATAGGCTTTAAAATGAGTAATGTGCTGAATGTGTGATTGCCACCCAGAAAAATAATGCAAATGAGGGGAGGTGTTATTTCGGGTTGGCCAAGGACAACTTCCTAGAGAGACATTTCAGCAAAGATCTGAGGGAGGTGAATAAGCCAGTCCTGTGACCATCAGGGAAGTTATGGAGAGAGGGACTAACAGGAAGACCCGGAAAAGTAAATGTGTTTAGCAATACAAAGGCCAAGAAAGAAATCACTGGGGCTGGAGGACACTAAAGGAGGGGAAAGTGGTAAGAGGTGAATCCGAAAAAGTTTCCTGGAACCTGACTTTTATCAACCTGAATGAGGTGATGCTTTCATAGGTCCTATTTACCACAAATGATTGATGCTATTCAGATCAATCCTGTTATTCCGTGATTTCTTTAAATGAAATTCACCAAAGCAGCGCCTACATTTTTTTCTTACATAAGATCCAGTGCAAAGGCTCTTTGAGCAAATGATAGCAGGATAGAAAATGAGTGGAATACACACTGACTCGTTTAAAATAAATGACGAACTATGGTGGTCTTCTCAAACTGTGGCGGTCTGATATTATTGAAATCTTATGGGACTTGTGCATTTCAGTGGCTGTTATATATGCTGAATGGTCATTTTTGAAAAAAGAAATTAGAAATAGAAGAATGACTCAATGGCAGGTCTAAAGTTGCTTAGAATGTTAAGGCTATTAATAACAACCATCATAAGGGTTCCATTTTCCTGCAAAAATAAACTGTTGCTTGGGTAAAAGCTAGAACATAAATTCACACAAAGAAGTGCTGAAGATGGCCTTATGGTCATGGTTAAAATAAAAAACATCAGTACTGAGGAGCTGTTCTGAACAGGAAAAGTTAGTTTTAGAAACTGAAACAATACAAATACATTCATTATAATATTTTTATATTTTGCAATGATGTGTTTATTTAGCTAAGTAGTATCTGTTACTGTCCATAGCCTGTTTGAAGACAAAAGTCATTTGGAACTAGTAAAACTAGGGAATATTCAGGACTTTTTGTGGGGGAAGGTGTCACAATTTATATTTAGTTGTCCCCCTAACACCTCAGGCACTCATAGGTAGGATTTTCAGGGGCTGATTGGATCATGGGTGCATGATACTCATCAGTGGTTGGATCCACTGATGAATTTATAGCTAGATATGTTGTTTGGAGGTGGAGACTGGTAGGAGAATGTGGGCCACTGGGGTTGTGGCCTAGAAGGCTCTATCTCCCTCTCTTTTCCCTTGATACCTCTCTCTCTGTCATGCTCCTCTGCCATGCCATCCTGCCCTGAAGTCAGCCTACTGTGGACTGAAACCTCTACAAACTAAGAGCCAAAACAAATCTCTCCTCCTTCAATTGCAGTTGTCAGGTATTTTGTCCCAGCAATGAGGGAAGTGACTAAGACAGAAAAGATTATTTTTTATTCTAGAGATTTGGGTACTGAAGACAAGGAGGACAGGGGAACATGTTATTCATAAACTTAAAGAACTGAAAATCCAGCCACACAGAAAAATTAACTTGCTTAGTATCATTCAGAGTGGAAGCCTCCCTCCTCACTAAAATGATTTTAAGGCAGCACTACCTTAGTGGCATTAATAAAAACTTGCTCTCTAGGGTAAACATTTCAGGAAGTTCCCCTATTTGATAATAAAGGAAATATATGGCCATCTTTTCCTTTGCTGGGACAAAATACCTGACACCCACAACTAAAAAATAAATAAATATTTCTTTTGACTCATTATTTTAGAGGTTTCCCTCCTGGTTGACTGGCTCCAAGGCAGAAACAGGGTAAAGGGCATGGCATAGAAAGCTGCTCAGCTCTTGCTTTCTGAGAAGCAGAGAGCAAGGGACAAGCCCAGAGAAGAAGGGACCAAGGACCTGATACAGTCTCCAAGGCCAGGCCTCCATGACCCACCCAGCCACACCCAGAAGCGTGTTTTACTAATTTCTCAAGCCAAATTGACAAGATTAAGCACAAGAGAAATCCAAGGAATATGACCAAGTCTTTTAAGACATTCACATAATATGGAGAAAGAAATGTTAGACAGTGATGACACATTTAGATTCAAAACTGCATGGCCAAATCCAAAGATAAAAATTAACAGGTAAATGTCTACTATGATGCTCTGTGTAAAGCGATGTGGCAAGATTCTTTCCTTCTACTATGGTAGAGCACGGCAGCAGAAGTTCTTCCCTGCCACACTCCAAACCCACACCTATAACCGGACACTGACTCAGTTAAGTGTGAGATGAGCCCTTGGTGTCTTTCTTTTCAAGGTTCTCAGGAACCTGCAGCTTGGTCCCATCTAGAAAACAGCTGTACAGACAAGAAAGCAACAGCAAGAGACCTACCCAGGTACCATCAGTAAGTATGCACAGCTACCAGTGAGAAGCCCACAAGGACCACAGCAGCACCAGTGTACAGGTCCTAGCCAGGGCTCTGCCCAGACAGGATCTTGGGTCTATAGGCCCCAGCCAAAGAAACCCCTGAAAAAGAGCTGTGCAGGTGCACAGGCCCCAGCCAGAGGTCCACCCAGACACCATCTTTAAGTGCATGTAGACCCCCACCAGAAGCCACTCAGACACCAGCAACTCGGGTGCATGGCCCCCAGCCAAAGGCCCTCCCAGACAACAACTACATAGGGAGGCAGGCCCCAACCAGAGGCACACCCAGATACTATCCCAAGTGTTCTCAGGCCCCAGCCAGAACCCTGCTAGGACAACAGCACAGCAAAGGGATCCGGAAGGCCACCACTCTGAACCCAGGAATTGGCAGAGTAGTGAGCAGCAGAGAGAAAGCCTCTTGAAGGTTTGTTGAGAATTGAAGCCCAGTGGGTGAGCAAAAAGTCACCTCAACAAAGACGCAGCAGGCTATATCTGTAGAAATGAAAAGACATGTAAACAAGTCTCAAAAGGGGATTTAGCTCAGCAGTTTGGTGGCCTGCCTTGCAAGCACAAAGACCCGAGTTCAATCCCCAGTACCAAACAAAAAAACAAGTCTCAAAAGCAGACTTCCAGATCACCTAAGGCAACCCCAAAGGGAAATGAGATAGAACAATCTGATAACCACCTGGACTCTAAACTGCGAACAAAAGATCTGGAAAAAATGAAATCAGAAATAATTTCTCAGATAACAGCAGAGATTGTGTCCATAGTGAAAGACATGATTAATAACTCTACAGCAGACACAGATTAAAAAAAATAGAGGAGCTGAGGAAGATGATGAAATCCCAGCATAGGAAACAAATAGAATCCATAAAACAGATTCAAACAGATATCCAGGAGATTAAAAACTCCATTGATAGTTTGCACAGCAGAATGAGCCAATGTGAGGACAGAATATCAGATATAGAAGACAGGATTGTGATTAGTGACCAGGAAAAAAAATTTCTTAAAAATGGTAAGGGACCATGAGAAATCAATCCAGCAGCTGCTAGATGTTGAAAAGAAGAATAATACAAGACTGATCGTAGTCAATGAAGAAACAGGAGAGAGTGCAAATGACATTCAATTTAAAAAACCACAAAAACAAGAAACGTTCACAGAAGTAATGGCAGAAAACTCCCCAAACGGGAAAAAACTTGACATACAG